GTTTTTCTCCGGTACCTGGAACCGAACTCACGACCTTGCGCTTGCCAAGCAGGCGCTTTGCCGCTGAGCTAAATCCCCAGCCCCTTAGATAGAAGTCTTTTGTCCAAGGGACAGTTGACTAAAATTTTTTTCCCAATTTGTGAGTTTTCTTTTTACTCTGTTGGTGATTTTTTTTGATGTGCAAAACTTTTCAATAAGATGAGATCTCAGTTGTTGATTCTTTGAAGTATTTCCTGTGCAGTTTTGTTTTTGTTTATAAATTTTCCACCTCCCTCTGTGTCTTCAAAATCTCTACCTACTTTCTCTTCCAGTAGATTTAGTGTTTCTGTTTTAATATTTAGATTTTTAATCCATTTTTACTTTAGTTTGATGCATTGTGATGGACATGGATCTAGTTTTAGTCTTTGGCATGTGGTGAGCCAGTTTTTCCAGTACCATTTCTTAAACAGGCTATTTTTCTTCCAGTGAACTTGTTTGGCCTGTTTGTTAAAGATAAGGTGGCTGAGTGTGTTTGTGGTTATGGCTGTGTCTTCCAGTCTGTCCCATTGATCCTCAGGTCCGTTTTGGAAGGGTTTTTTTTTGTTTTCTTTTGTTTTCTTTTGCCAATAACATGCTGATTTTATCACAGTAGCTTTGCAGTATAATTTCAAGTCAGGAATTATGATGACTCCTGCCTTGCCTTTGTTGCCCAGGATTGCTTTTGCTGCTCTGGGTCTCTTCTGATTCCAGATGAATTTCAGGAATGTTTTCTCTACATCTGTGAGGTATACTAATGGTATTTTGACTAGGACTGCATTGAATCTATATAACAATTTTGAGAGTATGGCCATTTTCACAATGTTGGTTCTTCCTGTCTGTGAGGAAGGAATGGCTTTCCATTTTCTGAAATAATCTTTGATCTCTTTTTTCAGAGGAGTGTGGTTTTCACTGTATAGATTCTTTTACTTCTTTTTAGGTTGATTCCTAAGTATTTCAGTTTTTTGGATGCTACTGTAAAAGGTATGGTTTCCTTAAAATTTTGGAGGCCATTCTTCATCTTCTACACTGGCCACCTCATTTTCATCTCACACTCCCAAAAGTCATGCCTATGTAGATCAAGTCAGTCTTGGATACGAGTTCTGTGCTCAATTTAAAGACATTTGTCTCTTCCCATTCTGCATTTGTGGATCCTGAGATCAGCCCTAGGGAACATTGTTTGTATCCCCAGAACTGTTGGACACTAGAAGCTATCCTTGCAAACTAGCAATTGGCTGGTTCAGCAGTTGTATAGGGAAGTGTGACCTTGTCTCTTGGAGTGTGGACAATGTAGTACTCTGTCCTGGATGGAGGGAAACACAGTTCAACCATCCTGCAACCCCAACTCTGCTTTGCTGGACATGAGCCTTCACTTGCCTCCAGGACATCCCACCGGACTCTCTGAGTGTTCCTAGGCTAGTTCCTAGCTCTTGCCACAGTCCAGTTCCTATGAGTTCCTAAAGCTCAGACCCCTCCTTCTCCTTTTCATCTGCAGGGTGGAGTCCATGTCTCTGGCTGAGAGAGGAAAGCCAGGAAATATCACTTCATGCTTGCTGGAGAATGAGAAGGCCAGAGATTGCCTGATCCCTATGGGGTGAGTGCCCATTCATAGCTCTGTATGCCTGTGCCCCTCAGCTCTCTGCTTGTCTTGAAGCAGAGTCTAAGAATGTTCTTATCTCTATGACTGGCAGTGCCAAACCTTGGGCTGCTTTGTTTTGGTGTGATCAACTCTGCATGGACTCTGGCTATGGCATTCCAAACTGCTCTTGGCTTCCCTCTCCTGAGACCAGCAGGTGTCCATGAGCCTCTGCATTTCCAAACATAGCCCACCTTTCATGCCCCTTCTGAAGTGTTCAAAGAGAGGACAATGGCAGTGGAGCCAAATGGCCTAGGAAGTAAAAGGACGTGGGGAGCTTTTGATCCCTGAATATGCAGGTGAAAGATTTTTGAGCCCTTTCAGATACAGCAAGGGAACTATGTTACGTAGTGGTATCTCAGTTCACAAATGTTTTTGTTTGCAAACAATTTGGTTTGCAAACGTGTTTTGGCAAAATTTTGTTTTTGTTTGCAAACTCTGCATCTGGTGACAAATACAACCACAGCTATTTTTCCCACACAAACACAAAAATGTCTATCTTTTCCAAAATCAAGAAAATTAAGTTCACGAACCAAGGTACCACTGTATTTGTCCAGCCTCTTGTTCTGCAGCCAGTGTTCCTGAGCTCTGACCAGCCCCTCACCCACCAGGACTCTGGGCAGGGTTTCCTGGTTCCAGTGAATAATGAGAAAATTGTGGCTGGTAGATGGCATTATCTAACCTTGCACCACAAATTGTATCTCCAGGAGCAGCCTGAAAAGCCATATAGAAGCTGCTAGGAGCCGCCAATAGTGACCCAACAAACCCTCCTGTACCTTCTCCCCATGGTGAAGCAGGCCACCTAGGGCCTCTCCATGGCACTGCTTCCATGCAGTCTGCCCTCCTTGGAGAGGATGTCTGGGGTATGAGTGTCTGAGAATCTAACCAGCATTGGCAACTTTCCATCTGTGTCTATTCTCTGGGACCAGGAAATGCTATCTCCTGAGTCTTCACTACTTTCTCTGTGATTGAACTGACCTCCCTCCCTCTGGCCCTTGAGGTTCAGAAGTCCAACCATAGCTCTACCACAAAACCTTGCCCATAGGCTGCCAGACCCATGCCCACCTGGTTTTCTGTTTGTATCCTAGGATAACCTCAGAGAACGTGGCTGAACGATTTGGTATTTCCCGGGAGAAGCAGGATGCCTTTGCACTGGCCTCCCAGCAGAAGTGAGTGCTACTTGGGTTGCGGGGGATGTCGAAAGGCTGGAGAACCAAGTTGTGAGGCCAACCTAGCTGATGTGTGGGGAAGCAATTCTCAGGATACAGCTCCCATGAGGGCTTTGCAAGACTCATGCCTCCAGCTGGAGGTGGAAAGGGGCCCAACCATTGTGGTTGGTGGCTCTTCAGGTCTTCTGACTGACATCATTCTCTGAGTGTCTTGGTGTCTTGTCTCTGAGCCTGAATTTCCTCTCTGTTTAGTAATCTCCTCTAACTGGCTGTGGCTTGGTGACTAGACATGGTTGCCACCAAAAAAGTCGGAGGCCTTCAATCTGAGGGCAGAAATATGACAGACCTGCCATCCTAGCTTCTAGAGAAAGTCTGGATCTAGAAAAGCACCTTGATTCACCAGGTCTGATGCTCACATCAGAGAAACCAATGTGCTCAGGCCTTCAGGCAGAGGTGGACTAAGTTGCCCCTAACCCCAACCTTGTAAAGACCCAGTAGTAAAGGACTGGGGTGATCTTTCATGCAGTTGGCCTCTCCAAGGCAGAGATTCTTAGCTTCTTGTGACCAGGTAAGCATGTGAGCATTTGTTGTCAGCTATGTATTCCTTCCTATTATTAGGTCTACAGGTAGTTATATTTTGAATCTGATCATGAGTCTCACTTAACAAAACTTTTATTTCAAAGCTGTTTATATATATAAATGCATCCAAAATTTATCATCATAGTAAATTTGGGGAAACTGAGGAACATCTAGAGTACAGGTGTTATTAAACAGGAAAGGTATCAGAACTCAGCACAAATATTCCTGAAGCTTGAGCCTCAGTTTAGCTGAGATAACCAAACACACTTAGTCCTTCTTGGGTGGAGGAACTAAGGGAAGAGACACCACATCCAAGTCTCTTCTCTGCTTCGAGGATGGGATTGCTCCTGATTTGTAGATTTGGGCTGAGAGCAATGGCAGAACAGAAAGCCACAGAAATACCTCCCCCTCCCAGGTACATGTGTGAGTCATTAAGAACACCCAACTGCCCCTCATTGCCCCCACAGCACCACAAATGTCCCCCATCCTTGAAGCCTGAGGTTGAATGTCTGTGGAAATGGGCAAAGACAGGGATACGGAGGAAGGTTAGTCCAAAGGGCACAGCTGTCCATCTTGCTGTCAGGGCAGCGAGGGCCCAGAGCAGAGGCTGTTTCCGCAACGAGATTGTGCCCGTCACCACCACCATCCGAGACGACAAGGGTACTAAGAGAAGCATCACAGTGTCCCAGGATGAGGGTATTCGCCCCAGTACCACCATGGAAGGACTGTCAAAGCTGAAACCTGCCTTCAAGGATGGTGGCTCCACCACAGCAGGTGAGCCTTGCCTGGGGCTGGGTGGTGGCCAGGCTGGCTATTTTTCTCTAGGGGCCTGGAGCAAAACAGACCCCTAGGAAGGGTGGCTATGAGAGGGCTGGTTTTCCTATGCCCCACCCTGATGCCACCTTACCCCAAACATCCACCCCCAGGAAACTCTAGCCAGGTGAGTGACGGGGCAGCAGCCATCCTGCTGGCCCGGAGATCCAAGGCAGAAGAGTTGGGCCTCCCCATCCTTGGAGTCCTGAGGTCTTATGCAGTGGTTGGAGTCCCACCTGACATCATGGGCATTGGACCTGCCTATGCCATTCCTGTAGCTTTGCAAAAAGCAGGTAAGATGATTTTGTCATTCTTCAGAACTGACTCCCTCTCCTGCTTTGCAGATGGGCCTGGGAAGGGCACTGGGATGACACTGTGGGTGTCACGAAGTAAAGGTGGGCAGGCTAGCACCTCATTCCCCAGGTCTTCCTAACCTCCCAGCTGGGTCTTCCTTACTCCTCTGAAAGAGACAGACACACTGGGCACTTATAGTCCTTGCATGGGTCAGAGCCCAGGGAGACCCACAGCCTGCTCAGGGACCACTGTCAGCTCAGGTCCATACTTTGCCTGCAGGGCTGACAGTAAATGATGTGGACATCTTTGAGATCAATGAAGCCTTTGCAAGCCAGGTGAGCCTTTGTCTCTCCTTGCCGGGGCCTTGCCAGCCCAGAGGGAGCAACAGGGCAAGTGGTGCAAGAGGCCAGACAGAGGCTTCACCTGCTGCTCTGGCCTCTTCCAGGCTGTCTACTGTGTGGAGAAGCTGGGCATCCCCGCTGAGAAATTGAACCCTCTGGGGGGTGCAGTGGCTCTGGGCCACCCCCTGGGTTGCACAGGGGCACGACAAGTCATCACACTGCTCAACGAGCTGAAGCGCCGTGGAAAGAGGTGAATCTACATCTTCTGGGGTATTTGTAGATATCATGGAGGATACCAAAACCTAAGTGTCTGGGCAGATCAGGATTAGGAGGTGAACACTCACATAGAGACACTCTGAACTGGACTGTAAGGGTGTGGTTTCCCTCTTCCTTGAGGAAGGTTGCCTCAAAAGCAACCTTGGCTGCAGAGGGAATCTGCCAACCTGAGTGTATGGTTAGGTGGATGGGACCCAATTCCCCACAGAGCTGGTCTGCTGGTTTGCATCCTCTGCCTCCAAGGGGGCCTTGGTTCATGCAGTGTGGCCTGGTCAGTCACGTTGTGGTTGAGCCTGTGGCCAGCATGCCTCTGCCTAGCCACCACCCTTTCATTTCCACAGGGCATATGGTGTGGTGTCTATGTGCATCGGAACTGGAATGGGAGCTGCTGCTGTCTTTGAGTACCCTGGCAACTGAGGGCCTGGTTCCAGGCTCCACCCAGACAGTCCTGCTCTGGATACCAGAGAGGGACACTATAGACGCAAATTCACATGACACATTCAGCACTGGTGGTATAGGCAGGGTAGACAAATTAAGGCACTTCAAAAATTTGGAAAATGTGAACATCAAAGACAGTACAGGAGCAGGTGGAGAGGTTGGGAGCACCTCTGAAGATCTCCCCAACCTAGGGCAAAGTCAATGTGGGTCACCCAGGCCACAGGAAGTTGTATAACTCCTGAGGGATGGAAGCCCTTTGGATCAGGGGTAAAATGGATGGAATAAATTCTGTGTCTCCCTCTTAGCAATGTGGTTCTTTTCCCCCTGAGCCAGCTCTTACCTTGCTGCTCCCTGTGGCCTAGGCACTTGGTCAGTACCAGGGAGTCTGGGCGAAGCTGTACCTGGCAGTTAAGAACACATGCATGGTGATGGAGGTTGGGGGAGCCTTGGTGTGTCAGTCTTCTAGCAGTCCACTGATTGCAAAGACCCAAAAGGACTTTGCCTCCTAGTATAGCTCCTGCTGTCCTGCCCCAAGGAGAAGGAGGGACACATACAGGTTCAAGCAGTTCCATGTACTGTTCTGGAAGCTTTCATTTACCCACTGTCTTCTCTGCCTTCTGGTCTTGCCAACATGATGGGACAGGGACACCTGGGAAATACTTGCAATTGAAAACTGCTCATCTCTGCAAGAACCTCAGGACCAATGTGTCCTCTCCTTGCATGGACATAGGTCCATTCTTGGGCAACTTGGCCCAGCCTCCCTGGAACAGCAGGTAGGCAGGAAAGCACAACATACCCATTAAAATGGCCCAGAGCTCCAGCAGCTCTTCATCAAGTAGAATTCCTGGGCCTGCCATTGATTCACAGCAGATAGCAGGGTTCACCCAGGTTGTGGAGAGCTGCAGCTCAGGCAGAGCCAAGATGGTCTACAGGGGCACCAGCTGGGGGACAAAGTCTTTCACCTGACAGGGGATGGAGCCACCATGCCCACTGTCTTGGCCTCCCAATTGAGGCACTGGGACATTGGGAACATTTCCACTTCTAGGAACTTAAACTTCTGAAAAGCTCAGAGACCACAGCACAGTCTTCTGAAGGGGGCTGGTAATGCCATCAAAAGACACAGGCTGCTAATGGGATTCTGCAGGTCCATAGGCAAGGAATATGATATCTGTCCCCCATATACACTGCAGCCTTATGCCCATGAAGTGCCATGCTCTACTCCTGGGAAGGTGACCCTCCTTTTCACCCTTTACATGTCCTTGCTCCCATATAGACCTAGCTTAGCACAGTCCAGGCTCACAAATATGGCAGAGCCGCCATCCTTAAAGGGAGGCTTCAGGTTGAGGCCCCCTGTGATGGTGCTGGTGTGGGTAACCTTATTGTGGGTCTTAGTGCTGCTCCTCTTGGTGCCCTTGTCCTCATGTTCTCAAGCACAACCTTAGTACAGAAAACTTCTGCTCTGGGTCCTTACTGCCCTGCAAGCACCACATACAGCCAGGCTCAGACTCACTTCATCCCTATCCCCAGTATTGCTGACCCAGGCAAACTCAGGCTTCAAAATTCAGAAACATGCTTGGACCAATTGGTATCCTGAGGGAAGGGAACGGGGTTTGTCTGTCATTGTCACACATATTAAGGACTGCATTGCTGAGGCCTTTCAGGGCCATGGTTGCCTTGATCATATCATGATCATGTTGAGTCTGTCCTAATAAAAGGAAGAGAAAATTTGAATCATTCACCCAAGAAGGTTGGGTGAAATGAAAAGATGAAACCCAAGTGTGATCAATTTTCTCTGTTAAACCAAGGTAGGAACCCAGGAATACACAGCTTGGTTTTTTTTTTGGGGGGGGGAGGTGTTTGGTTTTTTTGGTTTTTTGTTTGGTTGGTTGGTTGCTGTTTTGTTTTGTTTTGTTTTGTTGGTACTGGGAATTGAACTCAGGACCTTGCACTTGCCAGGCAGGTGCTTATGCCACTGAGCTATATCCCCAGCCCATTTTTTTTTTTGTTTCATTTTTTGTTGTTGTTGTTTGTTTGTTTGTTTTTTTGAAATACACAGCTTGGTTTCTGCCAGATTTCCTGTTTGACACCTGAACTTTACCCTTTCCCCAGTTCCCACATATTTATAGTGAACTTGAATTAAGCTCCTTAGTGTTCTTTCATATTAAACAGAGAAGAAGAAAAATGGTAACCCTTGCCATAATGTGCAATATATAAACATTCTATCCAATGGGATGGAATGCAAAGCTTCCCACAAACACTCAAATGCTTACTGGCTCAAAGAAGCTGACAATCCAGGGGTAGCCTAGACAACACTCACTTTCTTTGTCATTCATGCTCTGCAAGGGTAAAGCTGACCAGTGTACCCTGTTGCTGCCCTGAGTCCTGAGCCCCTGGTTTTATCATTGACACTGATTTCTAGCTGCTTTCCCAGACATTGTCCTCCTCCAGGACAGAACATTAAAAATCTAGCATAGCTGATCTCATACTCTAGACTTCCATAAAGACTGTGGCTACCAAGATCAGACAACAAGCTACAACTAATTTGAGGTGATTTCTTACCTTCATTATCCCAGAGTAAACAGAGAGGAAGTGAGGCCAAAGTAGGTCCCTCAGTTACATGTTCAAGATTCAAAACTTTCCCATGACCTTCTTACCTCCAAAACCTACAAGGCTTTGCCAGTGGTTGTCATCATCCTCTCTTTGCTCAAATGATGGGGATATGTGGGCATGGGCTAGGTTAGGAAACTCAAGAAATCAAAAGGACTTGAGACAGTCTGTGTTTCTGCCCTCCACATGCCCTACACAGCCAGGAGATACTGGCTGAGAAAGCCTATGAACCATTAACACTGTGGTTTGCGTGGGGCCCTCCCTGTATGTGCCCTGCACTTCCTGAGGTATTAGATCAGGCAGGCTATGAACTGCTAACACCAGGATTCATGTCTTGGCGTTACAAGTGCCCTGACCTCCTGGAGGTCACAGAAACAGGTGGTCTATGATCACTACCAGTGCAGCCCATGCCTGGCTCCTGCACCCCCTGAGCTGCCTGGAGACATGGAATCAGGAGGTTCACGATTCATGGACGTCACCATTTGTGGCTGAGTGCCAAGAGAACCAGATATCCCCACCTACTTCCTGGGGACAAAGCAGGCAACCCACAATGCTACTGCCAGTACAGTCTGTGTCTCTACCCTCTGTGCACCCAGTGCAGCCAGGAGAGACTGTCTCAGAAGGCCCAAGAACCACTAACACCTTGGTTTGTGTTTGGGTGTGCCCTGTGCCACCTGAGGTACTAGATCAGGCAGTCTATGAACTGCTGACACTGCGGTTCATGTCTGGGCTTTGCGAGCACCCTGACTTCCCGGAGATTGCAGAAACAGGCAGTCCATGATCACCTCCAGTACAGCCTGCATCTGGCTCCTGAATGCACCCTGAGCTGCCTGGAGACCCTGAATCAAGAGGTCCATGAACTGCTGACCCTGTGGTTCGTGTCTAAGCTCTGCCTGCACCCTGAACTATCTGGGTTCAGGATGCATCTGGGTTCAAAGCACATCTACAGGACCAAGGGGTCTGTGCTCACACCACCAATGCAGCCAACTTCTGTGTCATACTGATGCCCTGAGCTTCCTGGGGACCCTTGAGCATGTGGTCTGTGATCCACAGTCATTGTTGTTTGTGTCTGGGGTCTGGGAGAACTAGATACACTCTGCCAAGCAATGGAAGACACCAGACTGAGCAGCCCATTTTGGCAGCCACTGAGAGGCAAGCCTGACCACCAGGATAACTAGGGATGCTTGCAACCTTTGCTGAGCAGCCAGGGAAGAGGGAGACTGGCACTCTGCCTCTGGCATCAAACATGACAAGACAAAGGACTAAAATACAATCTCAGAACTCCGCCCCACTCAGAACAAGTCCAGAAGACATCAACAGGAGAACCTGGTAAACGCACACCTGAAATGGCTGAAATGATTGCAATGGAAGTAAAGAAACAACTCCATCAGGCCACAGAAGACATCAGATCAGAAATAATGTCTCAGGTAAAACATGAAATGGCAACAATAATGAAAGAATTGCTCAGCACATCTAAAGAAGATATATATGAAAAAATGGACGAGCATAGGAAACTGATGGAAACGTTAAGTGAAAAATACAGGAGTGAACTAGAATGCATGAAACAGTTTCAAAGAGATATCCAGAAAATCAAAACTTCCACTGAAAGCTGGCAAAACCGCTTGAATGAAGTCAAAGATAGGATTTCAGTTCTCAAAGACAGCATGGCAGCTAACTATCAGGAAAGGAAGGATCTCTTAAAATTAACAAGGAACCAGGAAAAATCAATTCAACAGTTGCAAGATGAGGCAAAGAGAAATAATATAAGAAATGAAACAGCAGGAGGCAACACAAATGACATAAAGAGAATATTTGCAGAAAAAGTAGCAGGAAATTTCCCAAGCAGGGAAAAAGATTCTGATGTACACTAAGTGAGGTATATAGAATTCCAACTAGTCATAACCAAAATAAAACTACACCCAGACGTATAATAATCAAGATCTGAGACATACAGCAAAAGAACAGAATATTAAAAGCTGCTAGAGAGAAGAAACAGATCACCTATAAAGGAAAGCCCATCAGAATCACAGCAGATTTCTCAGCACAAACCATCCAATCAAGAAGAGCGTGGAGTGAAGTATTGCAGGTCCTGAGACAAAACAGCTTCCAACCAAGATTGATGTATCCTGCAAAACTATCCTTCAAATTTAATGGAGAAATGAAATACTTCCATGAAAAAGAACAACTGAAGAACTTCATGAGTGCCAAACCAACCTTACAAAGAGTACTAAAAGATATTCTAGACAGAGGAAAAAATGACCACAATTTCAAGAACAACAATACAAAGGAACCCTCAAGCAAAGCAAGCAGTTAAACAGAGAGAAAAAGTAGGAAACTAACAGCAAGTAAATAACATGGCAAAGATAGCACAACACATATCAGTTATAACCATTAATGTAAATGGTCTCAATTCACCAGTCAAAAGAAACAGACTGGTAGAGTGGATTAAGAAACAAAATCCAACAATATGATGTATCAGAAATGGCCACAACAACAAACACACTCAGCCATCTAATCTTTGACAAAGGGGCCAAAGAAGTTCAGTGAAAGAAAGATAGTCTCTTCAATAAATGGTGCTAGAAAAACTGGCCTGCCACTTGCCAAAGACTGAAAATAGACCCAAGACTATCACCATGCACCAAACTCAAGTCAGAATAGATTACAGATCTCAATATTAAAACAGAAACACTAAATCTA